CGGCCAACAAAGAGCGAATAAGTCGCCTATGCATCAGTCAAGTTCCTCGGTCACATCATTGGACATAACCTCCTGCGACCGCAAATCGAGACGCTAAAAAAGATTCAAGTTGCCAAGCCACCCGAGACAAAAAAAGGTGTCCGCTCGTTTCTTGGCCTGACAGGCTACTACACAGACTTCGTTCCGCAATACTCTGAAATTTCACAACCGCTAACGGAGTTGACACGAAAAAGGGCCCCGAACAAAGTGAGTTGGGGGAAAAAGGAACAACATGATTTTGAGAAACTGAAAGAACTACTGTCCAGTAGACCCATCTTAAAGGCACCAGACTTTTCTGAATCTTTCGTGCTTAGTACGGATGCATTATCTACAAGCGTGGGGGCGGTTTCATGCAGCGGCATAATGGAATACTGCATCCTGTAGCTTACGCAAGTCGTAAACTGCTACCTCGTGAAGCCGGCTACTCGACGATAGAGCGAGAAGGCCTGGCACTGGTATGGGCAGTTAAAAACTTCCGTGTGTACTTGTACGGGAAACCATTCATTCTGCTAAGCGACCATCAGCCTTTACTGTCGGGGAAAAATGAAATGCGAACAGAGGAGCGCGTCGCTCGCGGTACAGGCTGCGCCGCCTGGAAGTGAACCTAGGGGCGAAGGTGCGTGGCCTACTCGATGTGTTCCCGCCCCGCGATTGTCGCTTCCCCAGCTTCGGCAGTGCGCCTCTCAGTGCGCTGAAAGCTGTCACCGCTATCTTTGCCTGCTCGGCGAGTGCGGCGAGCTTCTTTGCACCGCATTCGCTGAGCCAGCAAAGATAGCGGTGATAGCTTTCAGCGCACTAAGAGGCGCACTGCTGAAGCTTGGGGGGCGCAGAGGGAGGGGCGTGAACACGTCGAAGTAGGCCACGCACCCTCGCTCCTAGGCTCACTTTCAGGCGGCGCAGCCTGTACCGCGAGCCACGCGCTCCTCTGTTCGCATTTCATTTTTCCCCGATAGTACATAAACTCCGCAAAGCACATCAACAGCCGTGTGCTACGTACGTTGGAGCTTGACGTTCATGGAGTACGACTTTACAGTCGAATATATCAAGGGCTGTGAAAATGTGGGCGCCGGTTTTATGAGTCGCATGCCTGTTAAGTACGAATCTCAACTTTCTTATTATTCTTTGTAGTGATGCATTGTGTACAATGCTCAAAAAAAACTTTTTTTTAAATTATGAGTTTAACGTGCGTATGACAAGGTTGTTGAATCAATCACTTTGCATATGTTTGTGTGTGGGAGAAACCAAAAGTTTGAACAGACCAATTGTCAAATGTTTAAACTGATATAATTTGTGGACAAGTTTTTTTTTTTTTTTTTGTCATGTTGTAGACATTGTTTGACCGAAACAACGCTCTTAAGTGAGGGTTAATTGTGGTGAGTTCGGATTTCAATTGAGAAAGAGGAGGATGACGACGAGGAAGAATGCTGATGTAGCTGGTTGACTGTGCGTTTGTGTGCACGGAGGAAATTCGGCGCGAGTGGCCGGTGGTGGAAAAAGAAGAAGGAAGCCAGGAGGCGACAGAACAGGACAAGCGATCAGGACCCGATGGACGAAACAACCGACCTGCAACGATAGGCGTGGTTGGCACGGCTTCAGTTCGTCGTCCACAAATACAGGCCTGGTCAGCGGGCCTCCGAGGCTGCCCGGCCGCTTCTTCAAGCCACACCCTTCAAGCCATCCCGTCGTCCACTACCCGGCCCCAACGCGCCAATCTACCTGGCATCAAGACTTCGGAGTGTCAACCATGACCAGAATTCAGACCCGCTTCACGGACACTGTCATGTACTCTTTTTTAATTACCCTTTAAGTGTTAGATTTTTCGATAATTAATTTTTGGATTTGCTCATTCTCTAGTTGTTCAACGCTTTAATATATTTTTGTACTGGCCCAAAAATGTCGTCTCTTTGTCCATACTCTCCGCGTCGCACACTCACGCAAGCGTGAACACGGTCCACTACAAACACCAATTCAATTCCCCGCTAAATTTAGAGGGGGGAACTGAATTGGTGTTGAGGTCACGTGGCGTCAATTTCCCAGCTAAATTTAGCGGGGAATTGAATTGGTGTATAGGTCTGTGACGTCTCATAATGCAACGCGCGTGGCTATGCCGACGGCGACTGACTGACTGACTGGTTAAATATTTATTTGCCCAGACGGAGGGTTAGGCGATCGGTGTCAGCTGGCCCCGCCAGGGGTCACTTCCCCGGTCCTCTTTCTCAGACGGCGGCTTCGATTCCCTGGATATTGGCGGCGTCCTCGGCCCATAGGACCATGGCTTCTTGGACCTCCTGTGAGGAGGCCTCCAGGAGAGTGTCCCAGTCGTCTGGACTGGTGACCGTGGAGATCTTGGGATGCTTCAGGGGACGGCGACGCCGCGAAACACAGGAACGAGCGCCTATCGCTCCCCACCTCAGCTGCACTCGCCGAAAAGTCGACAATCACGGAGGAAGCTGCTGGGGAATCTGAAAAGAGAACCCAACGGGACTCCAGGTGCTCCCTCAGAGTACGTCACTCGAAAGAAGACGTCGGAATTGACAGGCATTTTGACCTTCGATTTGTTTAGTTTTTTTTTTTCTTTTGCGATTACGCAGCGGAAGAGCAGTTTTTTGGGGCGATGGGGCGCGTTTCTTGTCATTTGTGCCTAGATAAAAATGTAAAAAATACAAGCTGCAAATTCTTTTAACATTAAAAGCGTTCCACTACCCCTTCAACTTGGCGCTCAGAGCATTGAGTAGTTAGGGTGCCCGCATGTCTGTCTGTCTCAGGGTGAAGACATCCATTGTTGCACTGAATGTGCCAGCGCGTGACGCTCTCGCGCACTCGGTGCATGACTTGGGCGGTAAAATGGCGTCTATGCATTAGCCAAAGCTACGCGCTCGAGCTGAGTGACACCGGATTGCGCGCACTTCAAAAGGCATAAAAAACAATTGAGCGGAAAAATGGCTGAGATGTCACCACTCAAGCAAAGGCGCGCGTGTGTATGAAGGCACTCTATGAGTAGTCAAACGGCACTGCGTGATGATGTGCCTTTAATAAGCCTTGCAAATAAGAAAACTTTTTATGCTTCTTACGTTCAGATTATCTTTTTGTTTATTATTAGGGGATGTAAGCTTCTTTCTAAAGTATCCAACGTGGGGTGAAATTACGAATAAACACCCACCCACGGTGAAGAGATAAGATGGAAACACTACAAAGGGGAGGGGGGGCTGTAGTATTTCGAAGTGGGCGGTCGCTCGATCGGGATAAAATGGTATAAGGGTCAGAGCGCCCCCTATAGTTCGATCTCCTGCCCAATAGGGGGCGCTCTGACCCGTTTGTTTTCCCCACGCTCGGTGTTTACTCAACACAAGGCCTGTGCACATGCCGACAGGCCTTATAGGCATGTCCATGTCATCTTCTACAATAGAGCGCGGGGCACAGTTTAATATAAAAAATACTAACAATCGACGAAGCGACGTTACGTGCCGGATCTATCCTCAGAGAATGCGAGCTTGACCTACTTCGGCTTTTGTGCTGAGCTGGGCAGAGTGCAGCTGCATTGTTCATGCAGGCCGTAGTGGAAACAAAAGGGCCCCTCCTCCCCCTCACCGGAGAACACGAACTCCAGCCGAACGCTGACGCCACGTTCGGCTATGTCGGCCGAGCGCTGAGTCATTGTATTTGTTGTCCCCATCCATGTAGTTGTAAAGTTTCCCGCTTGGGGCGTCACGGTCTGTCCTCTTCCCCAATACGGCCAAGGGGACATAGTATAGGGTGCTAATCGTAATGATCAGTCGGCTAATGAAGTAATATTTGTTAACTTTTTGATTAGTGATAATGGACATATGGTTACAATTAGAAACTTGCTGAGCGTCATTGAAAACAACTAGATCAGTCATATTTAGAAAGACTTTGAGCGCGTTAGGAGTGCAGTAGTGTGCTAACGTTACCACCTGTGCAGCGGGAACGAGACTACCCCTGCGATAACGCGCCCGCGCGATTTTTCCGTCTGTTATCATAGCCCCAGCCTCGTACCTGCTGCACTATCGTGGTACCTTTAGGGCACTACTACACCTCCCACGCGCTCGGTCTTTCTAAAAATTACTGATTTCGTGGTTTTCGATTACGCTCAGCAAGTTTCTCATTTGAAGCGTATGTCTCTTATGACTAATTAAAAAGGGAATTAACAGATTTTACTTCATTGGGCCACTTATCGTTAGGATTAGCTCCCTATTTTATCTGCATAAACCGCATAAGTGTAGCTTTTATGCCTTTTTTAAACAAATGAGTTAAGCTTAAAAAAAAACTGTATTCTCTATATGTGTATAAGAACCAGGGAAAGGACGGACCACGCTGTAGGATATATAAAGATTTCTGTTAGGTATAAGAACTAGTGTATAAGGTTTTCCCTGTTTAGGAATGGGGAAGACTCAGGCTTGACTCTTTGCATATGCGTTTGGAAGATAAATCACGCAAGTAAACTTAAAATGCATCCCCTAACATTCTAAGTCCAGCTTAAAAACAACATTATTTTACTAAAATTACTAATTCGGTAAATAACACGAGCAATAGTTAGTCACAGCTTAAAAAACGTGTGATGTTCACGCTTCTTGCTTGCCGTATTTCGGTATTCTTTTTACTCTATGCCAAACTAAAATTCTAAAAACAAAAAAAACATAGCTTTTAAAGTTTTTTTTTGCGTTTTTGTTACGTTTTTATTCTTTCTTTTATTGTTATTGTAAGTTTGGCGACCGGCACCCTTCAAGCTGAAATCCCGCGTACGCCAAGGAATACTAGCTTCGTTTTATTTCGCTTTCTACTTCCAACGCTTGCTATCGTTACAATTTCCTGTGAAGCTGCCACCGCGCTGCTTCTATTTTGATCTCCGGCTACACCTCCGCTCTAATCATTCACATCTGCTTCCGAGCTCTGTGCCGCCGGATCAGGTCCAACCCAACCAGTCGTCTTTCAGAGGGGGTAAAGTCATCTTGTCGACGCGCAGTGAAAGCATCAAGACTCGTAATGAACCTCCCGAAAGAGTACAAGAAGCTGGTTTGTGTCAAGCTAACCTCCAACTTCAGAGAAGCCGTGTCCGTCGTCACAGAACCCACAGCAAAACTGGACCGCAACGAAATCTTTCTGAAAACCAAGTACGTAGGCGTCAACGCTACGGACGTAAACGCCACTGTGGCAAGGTACGGGCCAGCGACTCCGCCGTTCGACGTCGGCTTCGAGTCTGTGGGCGAAGTGGTCGCCGTCGGCGACGACGTCAAGCACCTCAGCGTCGGCAGCGCGGTGGCCACAATCAACGTCCCCGGACTGGGAGCTTACTCCGAGTACCAACGCGTCCTAGCCTCGAAGGTGTTTCCGATTCCGCGAGCTGTGCCGGAGGTGATACCACTTCTCATCAGCGGACTGACGGCTGCGATTGGCTTGGACGAGCAGGGAAGAATAAAAGAGGGCGAAACCGTTCTGATAACCGCAGCAGCCGGTGGGCTGGGACACCTTGCCGTGCAGTGGGCCAAGGCAAGAAAATGCCATGTCATCGGCACGTGCTCCTCGTCGGTCAAGGAGGAGTACCTCAAGACCATCGGTTGCGACAAGGTCATCAATTACAAGAAGCACGACCTAGGTGCTGAACTAAAGGAGGCCTACCCGGAGGGTCTGGACGTCGTCTGGGAGACCATCGGAGGCAAGACGTTCGAGCTCCTCCTGGACAGGCTGAGCAACAGGGGAAGGCTAGTGGTGGTGGGCACCATTTCGGGGTACCAGAGTGGCGACAAGGCCTTCCCGCATGTGCACCTCAGAAACCTGCCTTCTATGCTGCTAAACCGTTCTGCCAGCGTGAGCGGATTTCACCTCTCGCATTACCATCACCTGATTCCAGAGTATATGGTCAAGCTGAACAAGATGATGCATGATGGCTCCATCGTGCCCAGAGTGGACTTCGGACTCAACGCAGAAGGTGGCGAGTTGAAGGGAGTCGACGGTTGCGTTCGGGGCGTCGAGTACCTTCACTCCGGTAAGAGTGTCGGCAAGGTGGTTGTGAAGATGGACGAAGCCACCTAGCTTTTTATTGCCTCGAAAAGAAAACAAGTCCGTCATTTTCGAGGTGGTGATCCTTCAAGGCTCAACTTCAGTACTCTCGTCGTATGTTAAAAATTATATTGTCTTCTATATACAAAATTGACACTAAATTTGTGACGACGGATTAATATATTTACGTGGAATTCATGAGTGTTCAAAATGAGTGATGTAAATCAAGTCTGTCAATATTATTTTTTATTTTATGGTCAATGTCTCTCAATATTGTTCGTGCAATATTTTTTTTTTTCAATTGTCGTGTCACATTGCTTTTTAAAGATGTTCTTCAAGTGACGAAAGGGATATTATTCTACTTAGTTTATCAGCCCTTCATTATTCCCAGTTTATATTATTTGCTCGTATATTTCTATTCTATTCGAGTACATCTGAAACGAACTACGGTAGGTTTGGCGACCTAGTGAAGTCTGATATATTTTTGTACATATATTGAGCAGAATAAATAAACTTTTTCTTCGTTATTTTGTGTGTGTGTATGTGTGTGTGTGTGTGCGCGTGTGTATATGTGGGGGGGAGGCGGATTATCTAAGAAATACTCACCTTTTCTGTTTTCTCCACTTATAAGCCTCTAATCGCGTTTGTGAAGTAAGGGTTTATCCGCCCTTAGGAGTGCTTGCTGAGTCCATAATTTTTCTTCTCTGTAATTCGCATTGAATGAAAACTTGTTGAAAGTTTGTGCATACTAAATGTTATTTGCGAGTGTATTTGTTCGTATAGGTCAGAGGTAGCATTGGTAATATAGAGAAAGGTGTTCGTAAAATGAAAATGCCAGTGTTTTTTTTTGTGCTTTATATAATACGAGTACTTTTGTTGCTGTAGAAATGCTAGCTACAAGCTGTTTCCTGTTTAATCTGCGATCTGTTTCTTGATTTTATTTCTTATAACAGAGGTGCGGAAACTTCTCAGGCGCGCGACCTCTTAGATACCCGAACGCGGTCCGGCGACCCCCCTCACCCCCTCCACTCTAATCTCTGTATTATAATGCCGTCTAAACAGTCTGGAGCGTCTACTTTCCAGCAAACAACTTGAGAGAGCTACAGTCTATCTATGGAAGGAGGTCGGCGAATGGCGAGGCTGAATGTATGTTTAGACCTAAAGAAACACAGCCTGCGTTGTTGCACTGAGCATAGCGCACGTAACGCCCAATGCCGCAGCGCAGACTTTTTTTTAAAATTTACTCTCTGGTTCATTTACTTCTAAAAGCATTTAAAAGCGGAAGCAATGCAAAGGGTCTACGCGTACACTATGCGACGCTGTTGGCTCCAAGGAGCGACCAACAATGTTTTTTGTTTTTGTCTTTTTTTTTTTCTCGTAGAACCAAAGGGTTGCCATCAGAGCTACTAGGTTGCATATCCTTGTTTTGGACACTAACCTAAAATAGTATGAAATCTGATTCCCACCAATATCTTTTTAAAGTCAAATCCGAAAGCGCCGACGTCGTGTTTCTTCTAACAGTGTCCCTTGCTGTGCAGCCTGCGGCAATATTAGTTGGCCCAATTCAGTGCTAGCCGAAAGGGGTAAAAAATGTTGGAGGAGGCTTAAGCTTCGCCTTTAAAGGAATTGTTCGGTCGAAACTGGAATTATTCGAGTTTTCGCGCTCGCCAAGCCGAGGGAGCATTCATCAAACATCATTTTTAATTTGATATATGATGCCCTAAAAATAAAGCCTTTAATCAGCGTGTGTACGAAACTGCATTCAATTTCTCCATGCAGTGTCAGTGGCTGACATCCGTAGCCGCTGCGTGACGTGACATAACGCAAAGGATCGTCAGATGGTCGGGATAACAAGTGTTCGTCGATGGATGTCTTGTATTTTCTTTCGAATTATATAGCCTCCTAAGGTGTACCCTACTGCAATGTGCTTCTTGTAAAGAAGTTCCCCAGAGTGAGCAAACCCGTCGTGCCTTTTAGCAGGACATTACTCGAAAACGGACGTTAGCTTCGAGCAAACGTATGCCGTTTCGGTTCTGCGCATGCGGGCAAGAAGCTCCTGTAAATAGAAGGTTGCAGATTTTGCCTCTGAAACGGCGGCATCTGGGTCCACGAAGCGGCATCTAGGACCACATATCGGCGGATCCACTGGATCGATGATGCGGCTCCAGGTCGTTTCCTCGGAGGCGATGCCCGCGGGTCGAAGGTAACATTTCTAGATCGTATAATTTGACTGGGATGAGCTTGGTGAATCGTAGTCACACTCTATTTTTACACGCGGGTCAGCATAATCGGGCTGCGCGCGTGCTAAATAAAATTTTTGGCATAGTTTTAAGATCCCGTACGAGAATGTCAGATCGGAGCGGTTCCAGTTCGGATCCACGCGGCTCCAAACTTGTGGACAGTTTACATCCGCGCGGATCCGATCTGGTACCGCGTGGTTCTGGGTGTAGCCAGTCGGATCCAGTGAGACGCAACGCACTGGAACTGCACGGTGATGGGTGGATCCGATCCTTTCCCCTTGGTTCCAGTAGGGTCTGCTCCCAGCCAGCGGGCGCGCACATGCTTGACTGGAGGGGGGGGGGGGGGGGGGGGGGTCGGCGGTGAACTCCCGCTCTTTTCCCCGCTGTCTCTCGCAGGTCACGTGTTAGGGACAGGCGCATCCGCTACGCAGGTTCCCTATCCATTCGTCCATCCAGACATGGATGGACGAATGGATAGGGAAAGAATTGCGGTAACTACAAGAGGAGATTGGCAGATTGGTGGAAAAGATCTAGGGAGGGTTAAAAAAACAGATAAAAATAAGCAATGGAATCACTTTAAAAGGGGGGGGGGGGTTGTGTTATAACAAAATTTATACAAATTAAATAAAAAAGAAAAAAAGGGATGATAAAATGTTAGGCTAGGCGGCGCAAGCTGCCGCCCGTTACAGAGGGTATAGCACAAAAGTGGCCAAGCTGCGGTTCGCGAGCCGCCTGCGGCTCTTCGCGTGTTGAAGTGCGGCTCGCATGGGCGTACCGCAACCGAAGGGGGGGGGGGGGGGGGAAGGGGGGGGGGGCAAGGGGGGCGCTTGCCCCCCCAGTTCTCAGGGTGGAGGGGCAGGACATGTGTTTTGTCCTCCCTGAAACAGCCGCGGCTGGGCAGGGCAAATACTGGCCGGCGGTGCCCTAGGGATACCAAGGGCACCGCCCCCCGGTCCTGGGGGTGGGGAGCCTGGTTTGCACCCCCCCCCCCCACACACCCACTCAAAAACAAGTTGGTACGCCACTGACTCCCTGTAATTCTAAAATTCTGAAAATTTTCTAAAGACCACCTGGGTAAAGAACCTATAGTGTATTTCTCGACGAATTCGAACACGCGAGCGTACCCCTGACAGTGAAAGATCGTCTATTGTATTGTTAGAAATGCTATTTTATTTGTAGTCTCGCTTTTCTGAACGCCGGAAAAAATTTTGTGTCATGCCGTGGCGGGCAAACTTGTAGAACTGAATTTTATTAGCAGGGTTTATCGGCTGCCACACTTCGTCACGCCTTGCTCCTCTTCTGCACCAGCTGCGCGTGCATCTCTTTCAGGCATTTCTGGGGACAGAAATTCACATAAATGACAAAAGTTAAGATTGGAGGCCGTGGTGGTCTCCAATGTAATCCATCACAGACACAAGCGAAATTACGAGAAATGTTTTACGGGTGCAGACTGTATAAGATGTTTTCCCGTCAGTTCATACAATGATGGTCTGGGTCATTTTTTATATTTATGTAAAAAGTATGTTTGAAAGCCATGGATTTGGGAGGAGCATTCAACTAAACGTGAAAGCAGCTTTTTTTGTTGTTGTTGTTGTTCCGGAGATGTGAAGTTTTGAAGCGCGAGGCGTGAACATTGCAAAGGTTTCACGATTCATACATTGCACAGCCGTCAATTTCATACAGAAGCACGCGCAGAGTGATACATTTTTTTTTTTAATTTCTTTTATGAAATGCCTACAACACGTACATGAAAATTACAATAAAAAATATATGCCAGAAAGCTACGAAATATGTCAAGTGTTTGAAAAAGACATGACAAAAAATTTATCAACGAATTACAGAATATAAAACGACGCAAAATGCTGTAAACGACTTAATTTTCGCGAGGACCTTATTTTCGCGAATTTTGTGAATCGCCTACAATTCGCAAAAAAATAGGTCCCGCGAACTATTCCGGTCAAATGTAAACACATTGGAATCTATACTGAGATCCCCCCGCGTCGCAAAACTTAGAACCCGCGAAATAGTCCAAAACTTCTACTTTGACCTAAAACGCGAAATATTGAGCCCGCGAAAAATAAGTCGTTTACAGTATATAAAATTGCGAATCGTTCGATACATATTTCGAATATATTAAATTATGCTTTGGTGGTTATTGTAGTTTGATTATTAACGCAGAAATTCAGCTCCTTGCTCTGTGGCAAGATTGCACGTAAATATTAAAAAACAAAAAACTGCTCCATCTGTAATCTATTTTAATATTTTTGTTGTCTGTTTGCAGTGTCTTTAATTAATTTAGGAGGACCATTCTGAACCATCCTGTGGAGTTTAGTGTGCATGCGGAGGACGCCATAAGCCAAGTTCGAAATCCCGTGTCGCTGGCGCGTACCGGACTTTTCTTTCTTTTTTGTTACTTTCTCTCGTTCTGTACTGCAATAGAAGACAAGCGAAGATGTACTCCGTTTTCTGACGGTTTTCCCCTCTCTCTCGACCCATGAACCTACCCCCTTTTCGTGACGTGTGTACAGCCCTTACTTGTTCCTTGCCGTTTTTCGTGTCTATCACTGAAAGAAGGGCGTCTGCCCGAAACGTTGTGCATAGACCTTTTATGCATGTGCGCCGCCATCTCGAATTGACGTCACTTCCAGTATGGGCGAAAACATTGTTTTGCCTTTGCCACGCCATTAGAAGGCATTTAGGATATAAGCGTAACTGTCACACTTTGTCGCTTTGCCTCCCCTTTATTTTTTTACTATTAACAGGTTGAAACGTTGGATTATTTTTTCGTCGCCCATACCGGATACGCCTATTAGGTGGCTGGAGACGAGAGTACACAGAAAAGGTTTATTCCTTCCTGTCAAAGTCCTTTTTTAGTATAGCACCTGAAATATAGCGTTTGCGACTCCGTGCTTAAACAATTGAGAGTTTGGGTACTCACAAATATCTTGTCGGCAACTTTCTGTTCATTTGGATCGAGGTTTAACTTTTTCTGCAATGAAAAAAAAATACACGAATTAAAGAAATCGGTATATCAATTCCCTTTGTTCTGGGTATTTTCCACACACACACGCACAAAGTATACCGGGGAAGCCGGGGAGAGCAGCTATAACAAACAAGCGATTTTTCATGTGTAGAAATTTGTATGTATTTATATATATATATTTCAGTAGGCTTACTTAAAGTTGCACGGGAAGTGAATAAGTGTGTATAGACTCCTAATATTTCGATGCAAAAAAATTTACTTTTTTTTTTTTTTTTTTTAAAGAGACGTTTGACCAATCGGGTTGCGAAAATTAAAACTCTTTTACTCGGCGGTGAATGGCATTATCGACATAAATTACACGGGTAAGTGCCGCCGCAGAGTAGCGAGCATCTGCGGAGGTATAACGCGAATTTAAAAAGTTATGTACCGCAAAAAAAAAAAAAAAAAGATCTGGATTTTACTCTAACACCAGACAAAGTAACATATACTCTAAAAAAAAATAAAAGCATGTAAGTTCATTTTTTTGCAGAACACAGAAACAGCCAATCACGGCGAAAAATAGCTATACTCGTTTTCGCCTCAAGAAAAAAAAACAAGTTTCGCGCATGGTTCATACGCCGTGCGAAGTAGTTGGAATATTTGATTGTCGGAAAAAGAAGCGATGCCTTTTGCGTTTGAAACGTGTATAAGTCTTGATAAGATAACATATATTTAGTCTAAAGTGCAGCAACATATATCTAGGGTTCAGAGTTTTCATTTTAAAACGATAGAAAGCGATAAAGGTACGCCGAATTCATTTTCGGAAATTCGGTTTTAACCGAAAAAGGTCAGTTTTTAGGTTCGGAATTTTAGATTTAAACCGATAAAAACCGATAAAAGTACGTCGAATTCATTTTCTAAAATTCAGTTTTAACCGGAAAAGGTCACTTTAACCTTCCAGTCGTACCACAGAGCCGTGGCGAAAAAGTGGAACGACAGTGTCTATTGAAACGTGTCCGAATGTATGGGATACACGGGTGCCATCACGACGTTTTGGTTTAATGTGCGCATCAACGATCGGAACGTGAAGTCCGAAATGCCCCATAACTTCGCCATGTACGAGTGTGTATTCAAAATCGTTGTAAGGAAGATTGACTTGATGCAAGCTCTGCATGTTGTGTTGTGCTTCAAAACGTCGCACCATATCTCTTTTTGGCAGTCACAGTTGGTTGAGTGGCCAATTTTGGCTCAGGCAGCGTTTCATCTCCTCAGCATGCCAGTGTCCAGTGTTAGCGTTGAGAGAGCATTCTCGAAGCTCAGGGTTATATTAACAGGAAAGAAAGAGTGCGGATCAACGAGGAGAACCTGGGGAAGTACATATGTGTGTGTACTATAACAAGATCAAGTAATCCGGATGTGCAGAAGGTGAAGTTGCATGTTTTCTGGGCATAGGCTTCATATCTGACTTGTTTGTACTTCTGTGTTTTTTTCTTGACTCTTTTACAGTTGCACACATTTGCCAAATACAGTGTTCATTTATTTTTCAATGTATCTGTGCCGTTATTCTTTGAGTGATCACAAATATCAGAGGTATGCAAGAAAAATCTGATCCGGTGTCCTTTGGTGTTAATTTTATATTCACCGAAAAAAGCCGATAAACTTTTGTGGGCATAAATATGCGCCGAAAAAGAAATGAAAATTTAATTTTAAAATAAACACCGAAAAAAGTACGCCGAGTTTTGAAAAAATAGAAACCGAAAACGCGGAACCATGGTATATCTTAATTCTCTCCATAAAGAGGGAAATTATAGTAATACACCGCAAAAAGCCGGACTTCTTTTTTTTTTTTTTACTAGGATTTCGGAGGTGAAAGTGAGGATAGAAGGCCCAGCGGTTACGACGCCTTGCTAAGGCGTTGTAATCGGATTATGGCCGCGCCCAAGCGCACCTCCAGCGAGCAGGATGGCGGCACCCGGAGGCCGTGCTTGCAAACGTCAAAGCTCAAAATTTCACCGAATCTGCATTGAGCAGGTCAGTTTTACCGTGGAAAATTTCAAGGCGTAGTTCTCTTCCAGTAAAAAATTGGAAAAAAAAATGTGCCACGTTGAGGTTGAGCGCGTTCGCAGACGACGAGAAAGAGAGAGAGAGAGAGGGGAAGACTTGCGAAAGAGGAAATACTAGCGAGTTTTAGTAGACCGTGTTTTCTCCTCCGCTAAGCCCGTCCGCTACCCGGAACTCTACAGCCAAGGCCATCGACACGCAGGCACAGCGGCGGTTTCTTAGTAGCTGAGCTTTAGCGGAGGGGGAAGCACTGTCTACTAAAACTTCCTACTAACGTGGGACTGACAGTTAGAGGCCGAACAGTCATCGTTAGTTAGGGGAGGGGTTCTGGTGGATTAGCAGATGATAGAAGAGAAAACTTGTTCGCAAACGACCGAGTTAGTGAAGCTATTAGGGAGTTGTAGTAGATCGTTTTTCTGCTCTGCTACGGTATCCGTGAGGAAAACGCCGCAGCCACGTATGCTCACCGCTAGCCTTCTCTGCATAGTTCAAGCCCTTATGGCTGATTACGGAGCTATCCGTGTGCTTAGCGGGCTGCGGAAACGAGCTACAACTCCCTATTGTGCAGCCATCTCCGGATAGGCCACGGTGTGGGATAAACGCAGCGAGCAGACAACAGAGCAAGTGTCGTCTGCTCGCTGCGCCGATCGGGAGATGGCGCCACAAGAAAATAGCGTTGCTCTCTCTAGCGCAGACTTGTACACGTTACTGAAAAATAGTAAGGAATTACATTTACAATTACTCAAGGCTAAATTGTAATTTATTACAATTACAATTACCCTCCCATGTAAGTAACTGACCGTTACTTGAAAAAGTAATCCGTTACTTTTGTGGCGTTACTTTTAACATTATTGTTATCAAGTAAGAAACAAAGGGAAGAGGGTTATTCAAGTTCTTATTCTTGCCACCTGTTCCTTTTAATGACCTTGAGTATTTTGGGCAACAGCTGGCTCTTATATGTCTCGTCAGACATTTTGCATTATCTCTTACTCAATATGTCGACTGCTACGCTGAACACAATTTGAACTGAGGCACTGAATGGGAGTGTCATAATGTTCCTCACGAATGCTTCATGCTCTGCATTGAGCTTTTTCAGCGAAGCAAGGGTAGTACTATTTTCCTCGCAAATGTAGAGCAAAGCTTCGTCGTTGCAGCCGTTGCCTGCTATTTGAGAGATTTAGTAGATCCTTCCGATACCTCCCATACCCGCAATAACGGTACCCGATAGCGATATGAAGCATACGCAAAGACGGCGGCGAAGTATCGGATATCGTTATCGGAGTCATCGGACCGATCTACTAAAATTCTCCATTCTCTAAATCGCGAAGCTGTAGAAGTCATCAATAGCAAAACATAGTTGTAACAGTAAGACGTGATAATTAAATATTAAATAAGGTTTGGCTCGATATTCTTCTTCCTTTGGTTCTGAACAGTTCGAGCCTCACTTGAGACGTTGGTGAATAAAAAAAGTTTCCAGTATATAAATATAAGTTATAAAAGAAAAAGAAGGACACTCATAACAACAATTAACTAGAACGTCGGTTAAAACAGGGAAATGTAAACGCACGTTCGCCGTGTGTACCTGTCTTGGTGCCGTTCAAAAACGCACGGAGCACGAACCGACTGCAGTTTACTCCGGTGTTCTCCAGATAAACGTCTGTTGGACCACGGGCAGCAAAGGGTAGAGTACTAAGCAAGCCGCGCTATGGCCCCACTCACGAATTTCACCCTCTCCTCAAGCCCAGAATATCAAGTCTACGTCAGCCACCATTATGTTTTACTTGTGAAAATATCTGCTTGAGATAAGATGCGTCCTGCTAGGGCAAAACAGGAAGAAGAAGAAAGGAAGACTGTTACCATAATCTAAATGCTCGCAAAAAGCTGACTCACAAAAAGGGTAGGGTAGACGGAGCGTTGTCTCCTGTTGTGACTTTATGAAAATGGTCGTAGTCACTATATCCGAGAAGGACATTGTTAATTCTTTTCAGTGCACTTACCGCCTCGAGCTTCTCGAAGAGGCGCACAATCACTTGGTGTCCTCCTCTCCCCGTGTTCGATAGCAAAGAAAAGACAAAGGGACTAAAAAAAAAAAAGCGTAAATAACTTGCCCCCCCCCCCTTTTATTTTTTTATTTTCGTGAATTGTTCATTTGGATTTTTTTTACATTGATGTTAGGGTCTAAAAAAAGGATAGATTCAGGGGCTTGGTGTTGCAAAAAAAGGCTTTGAGGAACTGAAGAGTGCCAAGCCTCCCTTTACGCTAGTCGATTCGCGTGACAGTGTCACTGCGTTCGGCTTTACAAAAAAAAAAAAATCTTTATTTGGAATGGGGGTGGGGGGGGGGGGGGTTGGTTCTGACAAAAAAATGTAACGGATTACAAGGAATCCGTTACGTCAAAAATGTAAGGGAATTACTTTAAAATTACTCTAGAAAATATGTAATTATTTCGTTACAAAATTACTGATAAATGTAAGGGATTACAAGTAATTTCGTTACTTGTAACGGATTACGTACAAGTCTGCAGTCTAGCGTCGCTAACTCGGTCGCCGGCGAACACGCCCAACCCTGACTTTGGCTAGTGTTTTGATCTAATTTGTTGGTTTGTTTTTATAGGAAGAGAACTGCGTCTTGAAATTTTACACTGTAAAACTGACCCGCTCAGTGAACATGTATTCAGTGAAGGATTTCCATGTGCAGGCGCCGATTTACTACACTCGGTGAGAGGTTAAGAGCTCAGTGGAAGCTCCTCCCACCCGTTTCCACTTTAGCAAAGAGAACGCTTCACCAGCGTTCTCTCTGCTAAAGTGGAAAGGGTGGGAGGAGCTCCCCCCCCCCCCCCCCCTGTACTCTTAGCCTGTCATTAACCATAGAGGTTTTGATTGAAAGTTCTGTTATATGGGCCGTGTTCAAAATGAGTGATTCGAACAGAATCTAACAAAATTATTTTGATCTTGTAAACATAAGCGTCGTCATTTCTGCACTGCCCAATGTCAATAAAAAAGGGTGCGCAAATACTCACAAATATTGCCTGTTCTTGGTCGAACATGCAGTAAGCAGTCTAAAGAAAAGGACGAAACGTAATAAATAGAGTGCATCTGTATTTATTTTAAACTATTATGGACATAGCGTAAGAAAATTATATGGCAAACAAAAAAAAATCCTGTCGTACGAGACAGCATTTGCTTAATATAGTGGTGATCAGACGACCGCTTGAGAGGATACCACCTTTTATGAACATTGGAAACGTGTAGATTGCCGTTGCGATCGACGTATTTGTCTTTTTCGACCTTTTATACCACTGATAAGGAGCTCAATTTATATGAAAGGAACTCGACGTTCCAAGGCCTAGCCAAAATTATGTTCCTCTCTGCAGCTATCGTGGTCTCATTTCATAGCCTAAGCTATAGTGATCATTTATCTCAAAAACTGCAACAGGCCTTTTCCAAAATTTCATCAGGCAACACTGGCACCGCCTGGCGTTAGGGGCCGAAAATTGGCTCAGAAGGGCAGGAGGATGAATCACATGTTGGTCTTTTTAGACTAAGGCTAGGTGGCGCAAGCTACCGCCCGTTACAAATAGTACAGCCATTAATATCCATCCATTGGACATCGCTTCCTGGGCTACAGTGTTGGCGGTATCGCGTTACAAGTAACGGCATTACCGGTTACGCGTTACTTTTTCCGGTAACGTACGTAGTAAAGTACTCGTGACATATTCGAAACTGTAACGGTTAACGTACAAGATTTATTTCGAGTAACGTGTAACGTATTACATTACTCGTTACATACATAGAGTTATTATAATGTTGTGTACGCTAGAGGTTCAACTGGCGCTAGCGTCTGTGCGACTTCCGGGAGGCAAATATAAGCAGACAGCAACCAGTCTACTTTTGCGGTGCTCGTGTGCATTCCTATGGGAAAACGCGCGTGAAGCTTTTCTCTTCGACGCAAAATAACACATATAACCTTTGCTATTTGGATTGTACTGAATAGTATGTACCTTTATTAACATTGTAAATCTGTATTTGCTTTAGTTATATGATTTTTCTTTACCACTGAACGATGTTAAACTTCGCAATATTTCAGGCCCAAACCTCTGTTCCATGGCAGGTATGTAAAAACAAGCGACGATTTTAAGCAAAATAACGATCCAAAGGAATGTAGAGTGTGTTCCAGGTTCGCTAGCATTCTGGTGGCGCTTATATGTTGCTAATATGCCAGTCCTGGCACTATATGAAAATGACCCTGTCGTGCATCTCTGCGATCGGTTAAAAAAAACAACAAAAAACATTGGAACGTAAAAAAACAAAGTACGTCTGCTAGGTGTGTCTTTTTATTATTTCCAATGTCGGGCAGTTTTTATCGGGCACCTATTCTCTGGCAACTCCCTATTTGCAAAGATTTGGAGCGTGCGGGTGATGATTTGAACTCAGATCGAGCATCTTCGCACATATTCATGAGCAAAAAGAATAAAATCGCAAATCGGACTATATTACGTGGCTTTCAATTTGTTTTCATCCGCACAAGGAGTTACTTATCTAGTGTTACTGCGTAGTTCTTGCAGTCTTCCTTGGTTTTCCGCCCTTCGTTCGTTTGGCACGTATATTCCCTATGCTGGTAAGCTCCGACGCCGAGTTCGCGCTAACAGTGTCCGACAGTGCACATAAATACGAAGCGGTTTTAGCACTGTTTTTCATGCCACGAATTTCAACTAAAAACGCCGTAACTGACCATTTTTTTCGTCTGCGTGACTGAGAAATGTTCCAATGTGTCTAATACGTACAAATTATTCGTGATATTTGCTCTTATAACTGAGCGCAGAGAGAATATGCACTCGCGTTTTCCCATAGAAATATATTACCGGAAGTCAGTTTCCGACTGGTTGCTGTCTGCTTCAATTTGCAGCAGCGCACTAGCGCCAGTTGAACCTCTAGCGTACAGTCAGCACGGAATGAAACCCGAACGCCGGAACGCGTGGCCATCGACACAGGCTGCTCCACCTGGAGGGCCCCTGAGAACTAATGAAAATGCGCCGGGATGCGAGAGTGCGAGAGCTCGACCCTTGCGCGGTGCGTCTGGAACTTCCGCGTTTCGCCGGTGGCGCGCTGTAAGCGCCGTCACTTGGGGTGCTTTTGTGAGTCGCACTGTCGCCCGGTCGACACCGGGCGAGGAGCTGTGCAACAATTTCAGGGCTTCGCTTAAATTATTGTGGAGGTTGATGCCTCACACTTCTGAAGTGAACTACAGAAAACAGATTTTGCCTGGATTCCCTAGTTTTTAGTTTAAAAAAAATGAAAAAGATCCAGGTTTTTGCCACCTCTCAACTCGTACGTCGTCTTCCGGGTCAAGTGCGCAGTGACGGTGATGGGGTAGGCGCGAGGTTCCGGGAAAGTTCTCTCTTTAGAGCCATCAGTGAGCAGCGAGAACTCATCCGCTCGCGACCGCGTGACCACGTGCTGGTGGGCGCCGCGCGAACAATATGGTGAAAGGAGGAAAGTCTCATCCGGGTCCGGCCATACCCGTCCGGCCCTGTCCCCGTCCCCCTCCGGCTTTTGGCGGCTGTTCGCGGTAGCAGAGAGTAGGGAGCCTTCATGTGCGCTTTGCTAGGGTGGTGCCACCCTTTGTAATACCACTCGCCGACAAACCAGCAGCCATTTTGGTTCTCGGCGATGATCCGTTGAGCTTATAACCCTCCCGGGAACAAGCACCTTATCTCACAAGTGCGGAGCAGCGTCAGCAGCGTTGTGGAACCCACGGAGGGAGGATTAGCATTTTCCAACTCGGAGGGAGGACCGATGGACGCAAAGGCCAATTTCCGGCGCACGGGGAAACAATGAGAGGAACAAAATGGCGGTGAAAGAGGGTGTGGGAAAGGGAAACAGGCAGTTGGCATCACTCTACGCGAAGCGCACATGAAGGCACCCTTGCAGAGAGAGCTGACGGTTTTGTGGACGTCGGATAGATGGCGCCACTAAAACTGCATAATAAAAGTTTTGTCGATGATACCAGGTTTTTGACGCATTTATATATATGTTGGAACGACAAGATTTATAGAAAAGTTACCTTTTATCGAGCAGGTATTTGCACAACTTGCTATCTTTTTACAAGATTCCCCATTGACGTCATGCCGCGTGTTTCTCATGGCCGCCGCTCGCGGCTGCAGGTCGGGGAATATTCTAAGTTTTGCCTCGCTATTACGCGGCGGGATCGCAACATTTTGATGAAAGGAGGTGTGTTTTCTTTTATTTGTGACAAGGTGAACAATATCAAAAGCAGAAGATGCCAATTCTTTCAACGTTAAAGTCGTTGCACAGCTCCTTTAACCTGGCTGTAGCTCTTTGCGATAGGCCCTGCTCAGACAGGGTGTTGGATTTATTCCGCTCCGGACTTGATACGCCTGGCATTTCGGTGGCTACAAAAAGAGCGTCAGCGAGTAATTCCTCGCTTTTTATAAAGAAACGACTGATAACCTCACACAAAAACACGAGCATGCTTATAAAAACCAAGGCATCCGCGTCGGTCTGTTGCAGCATTTTTTTTTTTTCTCATAAAGACTATGCATGGTTCTGCCAATAAACGAATTTTATTGCGCCTCTATGACGCTTAACTATATTTCAGAAACCGCGCGTGGCACATTGTTCACCGGAGCCCCAGCGTGGTTCCGGTGAAACGTCATCGAGCACTACGTGTCTTCTGTGCACGAAATGTTTCAACTTTCATTTCGCCCTTGCGATACAGAAAGCGATAAATAATGACAGCGCTGAAGAGGTATCGCTGGGCATCCGATTCACAAAGCGAGTGACGGCACTTTGTGTGTCGGATGTGACGGCGCTTACAGCGCACCACCAGCGAAACGCGGAAGTCAGAGACGCGCCGCGCGAGGCTCGAGTTCATTTTAGTCGGACCCGCATTCTCGCACACCTGCGCAGTTTCATTAGTTCTCAGGCGCCCTCCAGGTGAAGCAGCCTGTGTTGATGGCCACGCGTTCCGGCGTTCGGGTTTCATTTCGTGCTGACTGTACATTATAATAACCCTATGGTTACATATTCTTGCCAAACTTAAAGAAAATAAAACAAAAATCTGTTTATATATGTTTTTGCTTTTTTGCGTTTTTCCTCGTGAGTATTTAGTTGGAACCGTAAAACTTATTAGGTAATTATGCTCAGTTTTTGAATGGACATATTGTTGCTTTTTTAATATGGCGCTGATGCATACCTGTAACGTCGAAGGGTAAAACGCGCTAATTCATTATTAAAAAGTAACGCAAAAGTAACTTGCGTTACTTTTTTATCGGTAACGGTAACGCGTTCTGTTTATTTTGAGGTAACGTAAGACGGTAACGCGTTCCTTTTATTGTAAGTAACGAGTAACGTCTTTCTTTACTTTTTGTTTGGTAACGCCTACAACACTGGCTGTAGTCAAGATTTCCGCAGTACCGTGATACTGGCTACTTTACCTGAACCAAGCGTTTGATCGAAATTGAGTTCACGCCGAGCGCTCACGGAGCGCTCGATCGTGTCCGATGAATGCTCACAGTCGGCGCCCAAAATATGGCGACCTCAGAGCAGCTGCCGGGTGGTGCGCACTATTGAAAATAATTAATTCGCATTCCTAATTTCATTGATTTACCAGTGAACGAGACATTTCTTCTTGGAAACCAGCACATATAGGATAAACCAGCTTGAGTATTTTGGCATAATGGCTCGATAACATTTTACGGCTCCTACAATCGTTATACCAAAGTCGGACGACTTCATTCGAGAGACAGCGTTTCGCAGCGTGGTAATAAAATTTTGGGTCTTTCCGAGAAGAATGTGTCGATTAGTGCAGCACCGGTACAGGGGGCTTCTATAAAACGACACCACCGTGTCGTTTAGAACAAAAGCATCACTGAAGCGCACGCGTGATGCCATTTTATAGGCGATCGATTAATTAGCACGAACTATCCCGCACCCCTCTATAATCGGTACAAGGAGATCAACGTACCTTGTCGAGGTAGTTTGCGTCGGAGCAGGCGAGCATCATGAACACAAGCGGGTTCGATGTGCCCTGCTGCGTCTTTTCCGCGCAGTCCATCAAGAAACCCTGAACCGCCTGCCGAAACACCGCCGCACATGAACCAAGGTAAAGGGGCGTGATGAGAATTACGGGGCTGTTTACTTGGTCGCGATGAAAGACATTGAATGCCCGTTTATACAGTTGGGAACCGCTCAAAAAGTAAGAAGTGTTTTACGGGAACTTCTAAACGAACCTTTCTATGAACAGTGTATTGAAAGATACACATAGAAAAACAGAAAAATCAGAATTATCTAATTTCTTTCTTTCTTTCATATCTACCTCAGTGACAGTGCCGCTGCACAGTAGAAGTTAGAAGTGAAAAAATTTGAACACAGCTCTTTTAGAAAGTTATATATGAAAGTTTGAAAAGTTAGTCACCCTTAATATAGCGTATTTGAACCCATGGCACTGCGTCGATTTGCAGCACAACATTACTTCCAAGCGCTACTATTGCTGGCGTGCGCGAACTACAGGGGGCGCTTTTCTAACTATCATCATCATCATTTCTTTGTGACTTAGCGAGTGGGAGATAGCAGACCACTGCGCTGATTCCTAGACTCGTTAGATGTTCGGGTAATGCGTAGATACATATTTCACGTGTTCTTGCTTTTTTTCTTTTTTTATTGAGCAATACTTGTGATATGACATTTTATCATTGCTCGAAGGCGTGGAACAAGTAGTTGTCATGCCAAGCATGCATTTTTAGCGTTTAAATGTCAAAGCTCCCGGATGGTGGTGTAGTGTTCGCTATGACAGTAGGGAAGCGCTAGAGAAGGAAATAATATCCAGCGTTTTACCGCAGCACAACACAAACCGCGGTAAACAGTTATTATTATCTCAACGAGGAAAAAGTGAGGAAGGAATGGCTATTCAAGTTGAAAATGAGCAAGTCAGACTCGAGAACCTCTCGCGTGTTTAGTAAACGCTTCAATGAAAGCGACTTCGTGAGCTCGATTGATTCCACTGCTTTTTGTGAGTGCTGGTCTCTTATTGGTTCCAAGCTGATATCCCTTTGCGTTTTGTTAACCAGTAAACAAATGTTTCCCCGACACAACTGGCTGGAAGAGGCGGTGGCTGGCTGCTGGAGTTTCTTCAACCAAGTGCCTGTTTAATTGCCCAGTAGACGAGAAGCGTGCGTAAACACCTCTGATATCGAGACCTGTAATATCTGATAAGTCCGTTCTACTTCGGCTTCTCAAAATACCCCTGTCAGACGGGCGTCGTGAAGGCCTTTGGAGTAAATGTCCTTTAACTCAAATGTTATTTAGGCGGTGTCACACGCGCAAGTCAAATGTCATTCGGGCTGAATGACATTTACGATCAACGGAGTTAAAATCTCCGTTAATTCCTCAACTGCCTACTCTCGTCGACAGCGATCACGGATGAATACGAAAATAATAAGAAATATATACTATTATTTATGAATTCATCGGTTAGAATAAAGTTTAAAACAATTTATGAAGGTTTCTGTTAGAGCGACTTTAGCGTCCTTTAATTATATATATATATATATATATATATATATATATATACCCCCTCGCGGGCAATCAATAATGTCCTCCTCTGTTCCTTCCTGTTCGTACTGGTCACTGCTCATCACTGTGCTCCCCGTTCTCCTTATTCCTTCGCTCTTGATCTTGTTTTTGTGTTCTTCGTTGTCCTTCGCTTGTGCGTTCCTTTTATAACTTAACTTTAATTTTGCAGGGTTCTTTAGTTTCGTAGGGTACGTTGTTCGACTAGTTGGTTCATCTTAGTAAAACATACAGCGCAAAAAAGTCAAGGACAAGAACTATACAGGACAGGCGCTAACTTTCAACTATACTTCATTTCACCTTATGTTTGAGCGCCGACGATGTTATGAGCCGGATCAAACAGCGCAAAAAGCGCAACGTCATGGCGTGCTCTCTGCGCTTGATAGGACTAGCCGGCGGAGGAGCACCCAGAGAGAGACGGCTAGTGCCATCAACTGCAGGGAGCACGCCATGGCGTTGTGCCTTTTTCGCTGTTTGATTGGCCCTTCGGCTCATAACATCGGCCGCGCTCGGACATAAGGCGAAACGAAGTATAGTTTTATTCAGGAAAAGCAAACATATATATACACACGACAGACAAAGCAGCACCACGTAAAACTTGATTAATTTTTGTACTCTATCATTAAAAAACTGAAATTCATTACTATGAAGTACAAAAAAAGTGTCGCTGACACACGGCGTCCCACTTTTTTTTTTTTTTTTTTTTATAAAGAAAGTTTTTAATAGCTTTCGAGCGACCGTCTTTCGGCTTCTCCCTACTCCGTTTCACATTGAGTCCAGTAACAGGCGACTCTACGAGCTGGTCGGACCAATCAGACAGCATCAGAAGCGCATCATCATGGTGTTCGTTTCATTTCCGTACGTGTCCTATCATGGCTGAACCAATCATAAACAGAAATAGCCAAGTGACTTGCGCTTTTTACGCTGCTTGATTGTTCCCCTTAGCTTGTAGCGTCGGCTGCATCTGGACTTAAGCTGACACGACGTATAGTATTCTTATCTGCTGAAGCCGCGGAACACAGCCACACATGTTGCAATGTATCGGCAAATGCGAGCCATATTTATTTTTTATTGATAATGCGTGCTCCTGTGCTCGGTCATTGACACATTGCCCCGTCTGGCCGACGTATACCTTTCCACAACTCAGTAGGATTTCGTAGACCACACCCACTGTGCAGTCCACGTAAGGGGTGACGTGTTTCTTATCACATAATGCTTTTGCCTTCTCATCAGAAATGCGGGAGCACAACCCAGCCAACTTCTTTGGGGCAGAAAACACAACGGGAACATCGTACTGGCTTGCAAATTTCTTCAGATTGTGGGCAACCTTGTGAATGTACAAAATAACTTCTTTTTTTTTTTTTTCTTTTGTTCTCTGCCTCGTTGGGACCTTTCTTTTCAACCCCTTCATTTTTTGTAAGGCGGTCTCCGCCACAGAAACCAAGACCGAACACGGGAAGCCAGCCAATTCCAGTCTAGAAGTCTGAAAATAAAAACTAGCATCCGTCTGATGGTCACGAAACTTCAGCAGTGCAGACTCCAGGCACGAAGTTGCAATAGCTCTCTGAACACTCTTCGAATGAGCTGAATCAAAAGGAAGTAACTCTCTCCGCGCGCGAGGTCGATACATCTAACACACACGTCGCTCGTTGATGGTGATGTTAATATCTAAAAATTGCAAATGATTGTTGTCAGAGAGCTCATGAGTAAAAAGTACACCTTTCCCATGCTGTTCAAAAGCTGACAGAATACTTTGTACTGTATCAAAGTTCGTCACAGAGGTGTTAGTTTTTAAAAGTACAAGAAAATCGTCCAGGTATCTAAAAACCTTAAGAACATTGTCGGCATCCAAAACAAACTCTGTCAGTTGTTGAATAATTGGCGCAGCGGCTACCAGATGGCGCGCATTTGAAAAGGGTCTATCGTGGTCACCACGGAAAGTCCATGGCTTCGTGGTCCAAGTTTGGGAAGTTTCCCGTGATTTTGGTGTACACGCTATATAAGAAATACGCTTCGAAGTAACCACACTTCGGCCATATTGTTGTTTAACATTATTGCCGCCAGTTATCTAAAGCTTTATTTGAAAAAGAAAGCACGCCGGGAAATCATTGGCACTCAAAGGAGTCTAAGCGTCAACGCAGTTCAAAGAGACACTCACATCATATTCGCTGGACTTGATGGGCCTGCTCATTGCCGTCAGACATGTGTGGACTTCCATTATTGCCTCGGCCACTGTAAAGCGGTTCGTGCGAGGACACCCTTATAAGCATTTCGTTAAATTATTTTTCTACAGCAGAATGGGACTTGGGAATAAGAGAATGTCCAAACTGGGTTGTACTCAATTTAATCAATAAAAAAGTACTTATTTATTTTTCTAAGATGAAAAAGTCTGATGTCCCCAGAGGACAAAAATAGCTTTAAAAGAATAATAAAAAAAAAAAAAATTTCTCCTAGAAAAAAAAAAGACAATTCCATGTTATTTTGTATCAATGCGGAAATGTTTTCCCCATTCAGAGGTCGGCATTTTAGGTCGCCCTCACTCACCCTCACCCTCACAGCCACACTTACCTAAGCCCCTCACTCACCCTCACCCTCACAGCTACACTCACCTTCAGCCCCTCACTCACCCCCACCCTCACAGTCACACTCACCTTCAGCCCTTCACTCACCCTCACTGAACCTCACGGCCCTCACGCACTCACCGCCCTCACGGCCCTCGCGCCCCTCACGGCCCTCACGGCCCTCACGGCCCTCACCGCCCTCACGGCCCTCACGCCCTTCACTCACTCATGGCCCTCACGGCCCTCACCGCCCTCACGGCCCTCACCGCCCTCACGGCCCTCACCGCCCTCACCGCCCTCACGGCCCTCACGGCCCTCACGGCCCTCACCGCCCTCACGGCCCTCATGCACTCATAGCCCTCACGCCACTCACCGCCCTCGCCGCCCTCACGGCCCTCGCCGCCCTCACGGCCCTCACCGCCCTCACGGCCCTCACGCCACTCACCGCCCTCACGCCACTCACCGCCCTCACGCCATTCACCGCCCTCACGCCCCTCACCGCCCTTGCGGCCCTCACACCCCTCACGCCCCTCACGCACTGATGGCCCTCACGCCACTCAGGCCAGCTTCAGATGGGGCGATTTCGCCCAGAAACTTTACGTCCCAACACCAGCAACACTGGCCGCCCGCGATCACACGCAGCAACGAATTGCTGCAATTTGCCATCGTCATCATAATTTTTTTTTCTTGCACTATTTAGACACGTACGCGTTATAAACGTGTTTTTATGCATTTAAATCTCGTTAAGAATACTAATGCACCTTTCTGAAACAGTTTATTTAAAGAAAAAACGATCGATTTCAAACCAGAACCAAGTCTTTCGGTGTCATCATCACCGGCACGAGGTATCACGTGAAAATTTTGCGTCCCTGATTGGATGCAGCCGCTTCAAACGCATTCGAATTGCTCCGAGTTGCATGGCCCTCACGGCCCTCACGGCCCTCACCACCCTCACGGCCCTCACCGCCCTCACGGCCCTCACAGCCCTCACCACCCTCACGGCCCTCACCACCCTCACGGCCCTCACGGCCCTCACGGCCCTCATGGCCCTCACGGCCCTCACCGCCCTCACCGCCCTCACCGCCCTCACGGCCCTCACGGCCCTCACGGCCCTCACCGCCCTCACAGCCCTCACGGCCCTCACTCACCCTCACACTCATGAATTTTCCTGGTTCAGAAACTCACTCACCCTCACCTCACCTGTGAAGATGAGGGTGAGTGAGGGTGAGTGAGGGCCCTCATGAGTGAGGTTTGCCGAGGTAAGTCCCCATTACAGAGAAAAGATATTTCGCTCGTTTATGTCCAACTGATAAAAACATCCTGCCCAACAAAACGAGAATACATTTATGACTACTGGAACGATAACGCCAGATACGCCAAATATGAGCGGACCACGGGCCCGCTTATATAAGTGAGGCCAATGAGACATAAATGAAACAACACAAGGCGAAGGAAAAAGAAACGCGAATGCTTCTTGAATTAAAACGAAAGAAACACACAAGAGGACGACACAGATGACACAGCTTTCGTCTTGCAACTACAGATTTACTGGGGCGGCTCGCCGCTCAGAGCTCGACTTGGGGAGGCGATGGGGAAAGGGGGGAGGGGGATGAGGGGAGGTGTAAGAAACACAGGGAGACCGTTGCGGGGGCGAACACAGCGGGCGGTCGAAAGACTGTATAGACGTTTGCAAACAGCTGAGCTTCGAGAGCTGGTCTGCCCCCGTGGATGAAAAACGCTTCGTTTGGGCGCCAGTCTGGAAACCGTGGGTACGCCTCAGCAATGCTTGACTATCAGACGATCTCCCCACACCAGCAGCAAGATGGTGGCACCCAGAGGCCATACTTGCAAACTTTTATAATTATGGGTCACAATTCATGAGAGCACCAGAGTCGTGGCTCATCTGAGTACTAAGCACTAGACAACTCAGCAAAACGGGTTTCTGGCGGTGTATATAGAATCACTGAATCAATCAATTGCTGGCGAAAACAAAAAAAAACATGCGGTGACTTCATCTTCCTAGTCTAGGTTGGATTTGCCTTCCCGTCACATAGCGGAGAGCAATAGTTTACTGATGATTTCGTCATTCCCATTTGGAGCTGAATCCTGTTGATTACTAATTTTTGTATTGTCGATCCCTCATAATTAGGGTGTCAGGAATCCTGAGACTGCCTCTAAAATCGACCGGAAAAATCGGCGCCTTCACGCAGAAATCTCAAATTTTTACCAGAGGTGCATTTAGTCATCCAAAACTTCATTGGACTACCTCGGTGCAAACGCTAAATTGAGAATTTCAACTGAACAACAACAAACATGTTTCCCAAGAATATTATAGATGACTGTCACAGATTATCGATAAGCCGTAAATAAACCTTCGGGCGCGTATTGAATCCTATGGGCCACATTTACGAAACTGACAATTTCTGCTTTTCTTAGCTAAATATGATAATTAATGTTCCTAAGGACTGTAACTGCCTCGTAGAACGCACTCTATTATACTTTTTGATTTCTTTGAAAACAATCTATTCCGCGTAATGTCCCAGAAAGTTGGCCATAGGTGCATTTTACTTTGTGACTTTACTTCCTTCTTGTGCAATGAGAACAATAACTTGTCAAAAATAAAAGCGAGCAGATTTATGTAAAACTTAAAATAAAAATTCAATGAGGCGAGCTTGCGCCTACAGACGAAAGAGGTACCAGCATCTTGTGTCGGCAACAGAAGAACGACTGACCCGAAGCAGCCAGTTACCGCTGCACTTATATTTACACGGGGTCAGTCCAAGAATGTTCCAACCCAGAACACACGATGACAGCTGAGAATGAGCTGCAACTTTCGAAAAGAGTACAGAACCCCCGTTAATCTGCGTGGCAGCCACGCGCGTTGCCAACTACGTCACGCCAGTCCAGCACACGACAGGTGCCATCTCCCTGATGGACGCAGCGAGCAGGCGATCGCTCTCAGTCGAAAGCCGACCGAAAGCAAACGACCTAGCTACTGCCGAGTCTGGTTGGTTATAACGAAATAGCGGCATTAGCCAAGTGATCACGATTTACCCTTTCCTTTTAGAGCGCAGCTCTTAGGCGTCCGTTTCCAGCTTGAGCGGCGTCGCCGTCGGCGTAACCGCGCGGTGCATTGTGGTTCAATTGCCCGCTAAATCTAGCGGGAAAATTTCCCCCTAAATCTAACCTAAAAATTTCCCCGCTAAATTTAGCGGAAAAATTTCCCCGCTAAATCTAGCGAAAAACTTTCCCCGCTATATCTAGCGGAACAATTTCCCCGCTAAATCTAGCGGAAAAATTTCCCCACTAAATTTAGCGATCTAGCGGAACAATTTCCCCGCTAAATTTAGCGGAAAAATTTCCCCGCTAAATCTACCGGAAAAGTTACCCCGCTAAATCTAGCGGAAAAATTTCACCGCTACATTTAGCGGAAAATTTTCTCCGCTAAATCTAGCGGAAAAATTTATCTGGGGGTCAGTTGACCCCCCCCCCCCCCCCCCCCCCCCCCCTTTGAGCGTTTTGAAGACGTTAGACTATATTTGTTTTCACCTCAAGAACCGAAGTAAAACAAGTCCAGATCCTTGCGGAACATTAATAATTTACCCCTTCATGTAAATAATTAAGACATATGTAGGTGAATTTTAAATAAAATATACATGTGATATTTTCAAGACGTACACGTTCCAAACGCTAAAAGCATCTTTTTTTTCCTTAGGGAACCAAATCTCGTAAGAATACTTCGCGCCGCGCAGGAACAAAGCGCAAAACTTGCTTTTTCCTTGAGGTGGAAAGAGGTATAGTTCCATTTTTCAATTCAGCAACTTGATATCTTTATCCATGCATATAATTTTATTCTTTGGGTGACAGAAAAAGGTCTTCAATTCGTGCTTGTCTGTTTTTAACGCATTACATATAGTGAATTTCTCTAGGTGTAGTACGGTTTTGTACGCTTTATAAATTAGATTAAAGGGACATTTAAAGGAAAACAATGATGCGGTATTATACGCATAAATAAGAAATTCCGCAGGTGTTAACCATATTTACCATGTCTCTCAAACATACGGCGTGTTCTTTTAAGCTTCACATACTTAAAAAAAAAAAAAAGCCACACAAATGTTGTCTGTGCAAGTGAGTTATACGGCCAGGGGGACATCATATCTGGGGCTACTCGCCACGATAAATAGGTTAAATAACTCAAATGTGTCGATCAACTTTTTTTTTTAATGATTAAAAATTAACATGTGGTTCCACCTGCAAACATGCTGAGCGTCAGCGAATACTACTCAATCAGTAATTTTTAGAAATATGTGGAGAGCTCCGTGGTGCGCTACAGTTACCACTCGGCCCGGCAACAGGCGAAAAACTGTTGGCGCGAAAACACGCCTGCGCGGCTTTTTCGTTGACCGCCAGCTTTGCTGCGCCTGTTGCCCTGAGCGGTAACTTCAGGGCTCTACCTTGCTCTCCACGCGCTTCGTGTGTTTCTCAAATTTACTGATTTCGTGGTTTTAGTCTTTTTTTCTTTTTTAATTAGAACCACGCATATATTAGGCGCGCGGCCGGCAATCGGGTACGCTCGCGCCCGCCTCTCTCGCGTCAAAAAGCGAGAAAACAGGGGCGTTCCTTCTATAATAATCTCTAGTTGCACAAAGTATGAACTTGGCCTACGTGCTC